CAGCTGGGCATGGTAGTGCGCGCCTGTAGTTCCAGCTCCTTGGAAGGCTGAGGCAGAAGGATCACCAGAGCCCAGCAGGTCGAGGCTGCGGTGGCCGGGAACGGCCGCTGCACTCCAGTCCGGGCGACAGAGTGAGACTCCAACTAAAAAAACAAACAAACAAAGACACAAGCACCAAGGGCTGTGAGTGATCCAAGAGCCAAAATTGGAGAGTTCTGCTGTGAATTTCTCCTTCCAGAATTCACCATGATCAAGAATAGGCTTGATGGCTCAGCCTGTAATCCCGCACCTTTGGGAGGCTGAGGTGAGTGGATTGCCTGAGCCCGCGGGTTTGAGACCCACCTGGGCAACTTGGCGAGACCTCATCTCTACAGTAAATTAAAAAAAAAAACTAGCCAGGTGTGGTAGCACGCGCCTGTAGTTCCAGCTACTTGGAAGGCTGAGGCGGAAGGATCGCTGGAGCCCAGCAGGTCGAGGTTGCTGTTGCCGGGAGCAGCCACTGCACTCCAGTCTGGGCAACAGAGTGAGACTCCAACACACACACACACACAAAAGAATATCTCGGCTGGGCTCAGTGGCTCAGCCTGTAATCCCAGCACTTTGGGAAGCTGAGGAGAGTGGATTGCCTGAGCCCGCGGGTTAGAGACCCGCCTGGGCAACTTGGCGAGACCTTGTTTCTACAATAAATCAAAAAATTAGCCAGGCGTGATAGGGTGCTCCTGTAGTTCCAGCTACTTGTAAGGCTGAGGCGGAAGGATCGCTGGAGCCCAGCAAGTTGATACTAGGGTGGCCGTAAGTGTGCCACTGCACTCCAACCTGGGTGACAGAGTGAGACTCCAACTCAAAAAACAAAACAAACAAAAAAACACCTCACACCTGAAATAGTCATAAACTGCATTTCCATACTACCATCTTAAATATAGCTAAATTCCACCAGTGAAAAAGTATTACTTAATGGTTTAACTGTTCAAGATATCGTATTGATTCAGAACCGAAGCATATCAAAGAGATACTGGTGGCCACCCAATTTTCCTGTGTATGTTTTGCATGGCCTTGTGTAAGATAATATGTCAGTTTTTACTAATGTGATTTTGCAATGAAACAGAAAACTCCCTTGAGGTAATAACAGCAAGTTGACATCTCTTAGATGTAACTTTCATCCTCTTTTCATTTTTATCTTCTGTTCCTGATTTATAGCTCCAGCTGTTTGAATTTTTAGAGAAAGAGGCCGCTGAAAAATTCATCTATGATCATTTACAATGTGTAAGTGTTTAAGTGTTGAGATAATTCCTTTATGTTGAAGTGATCTTACAGGAATCTTCTTTCTTTTATAAAGTGTGTTTCTAATGATGCTTGTTAAGAAAACCAGGTCATCTTGACGGTTGAGGAAGGGCAGAACAAGAGAACAAGAAGCCTGCCTCTTCTTCCTCACAACCTAGAAAGAGGCCAGATCACACACAGACCCACTCACAGATGTCTTTTTCCTTGATTAATCAAGCCAGAGATAATACTGTAGGGGACATATATCAGTATTTCTTATGTGGCAAGAGAGAATGTTAAAGCAGTCTTGTCTCACATAATGGATATTAAACAAAGATGACTGCACGTGAGCACACACACACACGCACACACACACCAAACAACAAAAAAACAAGATCCTTGTCTAAGCTGCCAAAGTGACCATTCACACTGACTCCTATTTAATGGTTTCTGGCCTTAAAAAGATGGTTCCATTGTACGTCTTTTATCAACAGTTTCACACAATGACCTCCACTGCAATGAGTCTTCCCTACCCCTGGGGTGGGAGAGGACAAAGTAGGGAGCAGAGATGGTGGAAAATGCAAGATGCTTTTTAAAGACTCCTCTAAGGAGAAAGAAATAAAAGTGGATTTTCTGAAGAATCAGAAACATAGGGTGAGAAAGAAGAGGACAATTAGCAGAATAACCTTGAAGCTACACAACTGCAGATTGCACAGAGAAGGGACACGTGATCCCTGATACTTACTGCCCCGTTCTTTTAAAGGCTGCAGAGGCAACAAACTTGGGTGTGAGTTCTCAGTCACACACTAGCCTGTGATCTCAGTTAAACAGATTATGCTGTGCCTACCACCCCCACCACCTCAGAGGTCTGTTATTAACTTGAGTGACAGGTAGAGGAATGGTTCTCTGAAGATGTTCAGTCTCTAGCCCCTGAACTTGTGAATATGTTATGTTACATGGTAAAGAGGAAGTGAGATTGCTAGTCTGCTGACTTTCAAATAGGGAGAGAGGCTGCGTTCCATGGCTCAACCTGTAATCCCAGCACTTTGGGAGGCCGAGGCGAGTGGATTGCCTGAGCCCACAAGTTCAAGACCAGTCCAGGCAACTTGGCATAACCTCATCTCTACAATAAATCAAAAATTAGCCAGGCGTGGTAGCACATGCCTGTAGTTCTGGCTACTTGGAAGGCTGAAACGGAAGGATTGCCAGAGCCCAGCAGGTTGACACTGGGGTGGCCGTGAGTGTACCACTGCACTCCAACCTGGGCGACAGAGTGATACTCCAATTCAAAAAAAGTGGGGAGAAAAGGCTGGACCCAGTGGCTCATGCCTATAATCCCAGCATTTTGGGAGACCCAGGTGAGAGGATTGCTTGAGCCCAGGAGTTCGAGACCAGCCTGGACAACATAGCAAGACCTTGTCACTACAAAAATTTTTTTAAATTAGCCAGGTGTGGTGGTGCATGCCTGTAGTCCCAACTATTTGGGAGGCTGAGGGAGAAGGATCACCTGAGCCCAGAAAGTCGAGGCTGCGGTGAGCCATGACCATGCCACTGCACTTCAGCCTGAGCAACAGAATGAGACTCCTACTCAAGGAAAAAAAACTAAATACATAAAATAACATAAGGAGAGGTGCCTGGATTACCCAGGTGGGCCCCATGAAGTCACAAAGGTCCTTAAATGTAGACAAGGAAGGCAGAAGAGGAAGGTAGAAAGCTGTGCTTGAGAAGAGTCCACCTGCTATTGCTGTCGTCAATGGAGGAGGAGGACCATGCATCAAGGACTGTGGGCAGAGCCTGGATAAACTACAAAGGACAAAGGAACACATTCTCCTCCCCTGCCTCAGGAAGAAAAGCTGTTCTGCTGACATCTTGATTTTAGCCCATTGACACCCATGTCATACTTCTGACCTCCAGAACAATAAGATATTAAATGTGCACTACTTAAGCTATTAAATTTATGGTAATTTGTTACAGCAGCAATATGAAACTAATAAAACCTGTAGGATAGATGTTAAGTACCTGCCATGAAATGTAAAGTGGGAAACCGGCTTAGGAACTCTCTGTTAAGGGCAGGAGACATGGACCGAAATCAGTGGCTCAGCCTGTAATCCCAGCACTTTGGGAAGCCCAAGAGAGTGGACTGCATGAACCCGCAGGTTCAAGACCAGCCCAGGCAATTGGCAAGACCTCGTCTCTACAATAAATCCAAAATTAGCTGTAGTAGCATGTACCTGTAGTTCAGGCTACTAGGAAGGCTGAGGCAGAAGGATTGCCAGAGCCCAGCAGGTTACACTGGGGTGGGTGTGAGTGTGCCACTGCAATAGGGAGAGAGGCCGGGTTCCATGGCTGGGCAACAGAGTGAGACTCCAACTCAAAAAAAAAAAAAAATGGCGGGAGGGTCCATCTAAAAAATGACACTATGTTGACAAACTATCTATGGGGTACCAGGTTCACTATTTTGGTGACAGATTCAATAGAAGCTTAAATCTCATCATCATACAATATACCAATATAACAAACCTCACATATACCCCATGAATCTAAAATAAATTTATGGCACAATTTTTTTTTTTTTTTTTAGTCAGGGTCTCACTGTTGACCAGGCTAGACTATAGTGGCGTACTTATGACTCACTGCAGCCTCTGAGTATCTGGGATTATAGGCAGTCACCAGCACAACCAGCTAATTTTTTTATTTTTGTAGAGACTAGGTCTTGCTATGTTACCCAGGCTGGTCTTGAACTCCTGGGTTCAAGGGATCCTCCAACCTCAACTTCACAAAGTGTTGGGATTACATGCGTGAGTCACCATGCCTGGCCTAAAAGAAAAAGAAAGAAAGAGAGAGAAGGAGAGGGAGGGAAGGAGGAAAGAAGGGAGGAAGAAAGAAAGGACCCTTCCAACATAAAGGGGTAAACCTCTCCCTCTCTATCTTCCCTCTCCTCAACTCAAGCCTGGGAGAGTCTGATTCAATAGTCAGGACCCTCAACATCTACAAGGAATTCCAAAACACAGCCACAGTTGAGATCAGAGGGACAGAGGGGAAGCTATACACAGGTTTTCCCTGTCAAAAACTCGAGTTGAGCTGAAATAAGTAATCAAGGCCCCACGCAGAAAGAGGCCCTGTAGCTCAGAAGAGCTTGGCACAAGTGTTAAACATTCCCTTAGCCACACTGGGGAAGGTTGGCACCATTTCCAGAGTGAGGGGAACTTGGCACAAATATTCCTTCCAAGGGCCTCCTCCTAGTCAGGACTGCATGTTGAGGCCAGGGTCCCTCCAGATCTTTATCAACTCCCTTCACTATCAGGATGAATCAGTCCTGTGTCCCATCCCATTTGGGCAGAGATCTCAAGCTAGAAATCTGAGGACTATGTGCCCTCAGATCGATCCCTCTTATGGGTGGAACTGTGTCCTCCCCCTTATAAAGATATGTTGAAGTCCTAACCCCAAGTATCTGTAAATGTGATCTTATCTGAATACAGGATCATTGCAGATGTAATCTAATTTAGAAGAGGTCATATTGGATTAGGGCGGGCCCGGATCCAATAACCGGCATCCTCATAAGAGGAGAGAAGATTTAGACACAGACACAGGCAGGACACCATGCGATCATGGAGGCAGAGACTGGAGTGATGCTTCTGCAAGCCAAGGAATGCTGTAGATTGCCAGCAACCACCAGAAGCCAGGAAGACACAGGAAAAATCCCCCCCTAGGGCCTTCAGAATGAGCATGGCTCTACTCTGACACCTTGATTTCAGACTTCCAGCCTCCAAGACTGGGTGAGGATAAATTGCTATTGTTTTAAGCCATTCAGATTTCTGGTAATTTTCTGGCAGCCCAAGGAAACAAATACACCCAGTGTCGATCTGCTGAGCTCCTGCGATCCTTCCACCTCAGCCTTCCAAGTAGCTGGAACTACAGGCGTGCACTACCAAGCCCAGCTAATTTTTTATTTCTTGCAGAGACGAGGTCTCACCAAGTTGTCTGGGCAGGTCTCAAACCCACGGGTTCAAGCAATCCACTCACCTTGGCATCCCAAAGTTCTGGGATTACAGGCTGTGCCACCAAGCCCGGTTGCTTTCTACCATTTCAATTAACTGTGGTTTGAAATTATTAAACGGAAAATTCCACAAATAAGCACATCCTGTTTTAAATTGCATGCAATTCTGAGTAGCATGATGAAATCTCTTACCATCCCACTCTGTCCCACCCAGGACATGAATCAACTCTTTGTCCAGTGGATCCATGCTGAATAAGCTCCCAGCCTGTTAGTCACTTAGTAGCCGTCTCGACTATCAGATTAACTGCCCTGGTATTGCAATGCTTGTGTTCAAGTGACTTTTAATTTACTTAATAATGGCCCTAGAGTTCAAGAGTACTGATTATTGTTATAATTGTTTCATTTTATTATTAGTCATTGTAGTTCATCTCTTACTGTGCCTAATGTATAAGTTAAACTTTATCACAGGTATGTATGATAGGAAAAAACAGTATATATAGTGTCCATTCAGTACTATTTGTGGTTTCAGCATCTACTGGGGGGTCATGTAACTTATCCCCTGTGGATAAGGGGGTGCTACTGCATGTTACCAAACTCAGTAAAGGGACTTTACAGATGTGATTAGGTTAAAGATCTTGAGAGAGGGATTATCGGGATTATCCACATGGGCCCAATTAATCATAAAGGTCTTTATAAGGGAAAGAAGGAGGCAAGAGAGTCAGAGAAAGATATGTGACTAGAGAAGTAGAGTAAGAAAGGTTCTGTGATGTGGGGCCACCAGCCAAGGAATGAGGACAGCTTCAAGAAGTTGGAAAAAGGGTAAGGAAACAGAATAGCCCCAAAGCTTCCAGAAGGAATGCAAGTTTGCAGGCACTTTAAGTTGTGCACACTGAGACCCATGTTGAACTTCTAACCTCCTGTACCATGAGATAATACACATGTTGTTTAAGCCACTGAATTTGTGGTGCTTTGTTACAACAGCAATAGGAAACCAATACACAAGTACTCTTGGGCTTATATAGGTCCACTCTCCCCAATTTCTCTCACACTCTTGCAGTACACTCATTTTGGTTCCTGCCTGGCTCACATGGCCCTGGCATTTGTTCTCATGCCTGAGGATTCTGTGCCCCACCAGGTCACACATAGCAAAATGGACAAATTAATTCACAAGTGGAAAAGCATATGCACATTAGCAAAAGGCTTCCAGATACAATGGCTTTAAAGAAGAGGTGCTAGCCGGGCTCGGTGGCTCAACCTATAATCCCGCGCCTTTGGGAGGCTGAGGTGAGTGGATTGCCTGAGCCCACGGGTTTGAGACTCGCCTGGGCAGCGAGACCTCCTCTCTACAATAAATAAATTTAAAAAAAAATCAGCTGGGCATAGTAACGCATGCCTGTAATTCCGGCTACTTGGAAGGCTGAGGCGGAAGGATCGCCGGAGCCCAGCAGGTCAAGGCTGTGGTGGCCGGGAGCGGCCACTGCACTCCAGTCTGGGCGACAGAGTGAGACTCCAATTAAAAAAAAAAAAAAAAGAAGAGGTGCTAACTATGCCCCTGGAAAGCCAGCCAGGAGGGCTACCCTACGTATCCACAGGTAGAGCGTACAAAGAAAGCAAAAATAGAGCCAACTAGTGAGAGGCCCTGAATGTTTAGATTTGATTCTCAAGAGACAAGGCACCTTCAGAAAGTTCTAAGCAGAAAAGTAGCCTGCCCAAGAAAAGAGACAGGGGAGAAGTGCCTCAGAGACGGATAGACACTAAGTTTACTGTGGTTCTAGTATGTTCCAAGGACCAAGGAAGATGCTGTGCCTCAATTATTTCACTTATCATTTGCAACAAACCTGGGGAAAGGTTATCTTTATCTGTGACTGAAGATGAGATTGAAACTCAAAGAAGTTGGTGAGCAGGAGTTAGTGAGTAGTAGAACTGGTTTTGGACCTACTGTACAACACAGGACCCAAAGAAACCCAGAATTCATTTATAAAAATTATGTATTTATTCTTACATGTTTAAACTTCAGTTACCTTCAAAGTACTCTTCGTTTGATGCAGCACACCTATGGAGATGCTTCTTCCACTGGTCAAAACAGTTTTTGAACTCATCAATTTGGATGCCTTTAAGTGCTTCTGCCGTTTTTTGTTTTACCTCTTTCACATCAGCGAAACATTTCCCTCTGAGGACTTTTTTCATCCAGGGAAACAAAAAATAGTTGCTCCAGGTGGGAGCAGGTGAATAGGGAGTGTGGGGCAAAGGGATCAGGCCATTTTTTGGTCAAAAACTACTGAACACTCAGTATAGTGTGGGCAGGTGTGCTCAAAAATCACTTCAGGTAATGGGGCCAACGTACTGAAAGAATTGCCAAAAAAATTAACTGAAGCCGAAGAAAAACAGTCTCTTACGACAACGCTAGCTGGTCCACAGATGCCGATGGGTTTCTAGACCACTTATCTGGCAGAGGAAAACTGTACTACAAGAGGCCCGCCATCCAAAAAATACAAAAAATAATTTCTTTTTGGGGGGAGGTCCCCCCTTGTATCACTCCAAAGCTTGTCTACAAAACCTCTCTGCTCCCCCTGAGTTTAGTGGGTCAATGAAAAGGGAGGCTCCGAATGAGGGAAAGGGTGGCTGAAGGGAGGCCAGCCAAGAGCAGCACTGAGGTGGGCTAGGAAAGACACTACACCTCAGCCAGGGTTTGAAGAGAATCTCTTGCTAGGGATGCAGGAAAGAAAGTGAAGTTGAAGGCCAAAAGAATGGCAGTGCCATCAGCAGGCATAAAGCAAGGAAGAAGAATGAATTTGAGGGGGGAAGACTTAGGGAGGCAAAGATAGCTCGGTGCTTTCAGCAGCCGAGGAAAAAAATATTCCTTCGGGCTGTCAGTCCTTAAATTTATACCCACAGATAGACATAACTGTGCTGCTTTTAGGCAAACATGCTTTTCTTTTGTCTTCCAAACAGTTCAAAGGGGAAGGGAGCCATGGTGTCATCCTCTTTCTGTACAGTCTGATCTTCTCCAGAACATTTGAAAGGTAAATTCTCCAAATGTTTGCACAGGTGTTTTCTATAGAATTGGGATCACATAAACAATGTACTCTTGTGTTGAAAAGTATTTTCATCTCCATATTGGAAACATGAGAGCAAATTTTTTTTTTCTAGTGAATACTCTCCTGTTGACAGGCCTTAATCTATGGGGGGAGGGCAAAAAAACTGGAATTAACCTTTGGAGGGTGGGCCCCTTGTAGTACAGGTTCCCCCTGCTAGGTAAGTAAGTGCTCTAGTGAACCCATTGGCGTCAGTGTACCAGCTACTCCTGTAGTGAGAGGTCGCATTTGACTTCAGTGAATTTTGTTTTGGAGATTCCTTCATCACGTTTGCCCATTTCACATCGGGTGATTTACAAACACACCTGCCCACACCTCGCTGAGTGTTCAGCAGTTCTTTTTTTTTTTTTATCAAAAACGGCATGATCCCCTATGCCCCACCCTCCCTATTCACCAGATCTCACCCCAAGTGACTTTTTTTCTTTCCCTGGATGAAAATCCTCAAAGGGAAATGTTCTTTGCCAATGTGGAAGAGGTGAAACAAAAAAATAGCAGAAGCACTAAAAGGCAACCAAATGGATGAGTTCAAAAACTATTTTGAGCAGTGGAAAAAGCATCTTAATAGGTGTATTGCATCCAACGGAGAGTACTTTCAAGGTGACTGAAGTTTAAACATGTAAGAATCAATACACAATTTTTTATAAATAAATAAATTCTGGGTCCCCCTGGTATAGTTGGTTTGGCCATGTAGTAAATTTTTGGTCCCCCTAGTATAGTTGGTTTGGCCATGTTGATGGGCAAGTGGACATCATTAGTCAAGTTTGAATCTGTTCTTTTAGTACATTGGTGTCCTTCTCCTCGTGGTTGTAAATATTGGCGGATGATACCAAAGCTTACTTGGATGAGTTTCATAAATAAATATATTCTGTTATTTGGTTCCACAATAAAATATATCCTCCAATATTTATCTTGTCTCTGTGATATGCAAAGCCCTGTTCTTGGCACTGTGGGAAGAGTACCTATAAGAGAAGGTGTGGCCCTGACCTGCAGATTACAGTCAGGGAAAGACAGGGGGTATATATGGAGAGGCCATGCAGATCTGAGGTGTAAAAAGATGAGTCAGTGGATTCCAGAAGGGGTTCTCCACAGATAGGGTGGTCAGGGAAGACTTCCTGAGAGAAATGGACTTTCTGCTGGGCCTTGAAGAAAAAGTCAACTTTTGAGAGCCAGAGAAAGATAGAAAGCTCTCAGAAGGGAAGAAGTCAGAGCCTGGAAGCAGAGGTCCTGAAACTCATCTTTTACACACCAGCTTTATGGCCTCTGTTATTTTCAACTCCATACTTGAAGAAATTTGCTTGACAGTTTTATTTCATCAATATGTGTTAAAATACCAACCTCTCCCTAAACACTGATATCCTTTAAATCATGTGCTATGCTAAAGATAAAATGTATTAAAATAAACACATCACTATTAAAATCATAAAATGTTCATATCTCTGCCATCTAAAATTAGTCCATCCTTTGGGAAACACTGCTGAGTTACAGCTGAAGCCACCAAGACACTCATTGTATGGACCCAAGTCTTTAAGTCTCATTCACAGAAGGGTGTAACCACCAGTTCCATGAATAGATTTGTTCAAGGACACATACAGGTTACATACCAGTACTTAGCACTTCCCTCTGGGTGACAGCAGGAGCCACATTTAAACTTGACCTTATACTGTCAAGGGTAAGACCCTGACTCCTGGCCCTTTTGAGAGTCAGAGGGCAGAGGCTGCCCTTCTGCAATCAAGAGGTGGGTTCGACAGCCACGCTGGAGTTTTCCATTTGAACAATCCATTCAGCCCTGACTTAGGTCGGCCCTCTCTGATGTGGTCATGCGTCACCACCCTGAGCCAAACGTACCTTGTGACATGGGACAGATAGCTTCTCTGCTAAGTCCAGCATCTCCTGGAGTACACACACAGGGATTCTAATGTGTGAGACCTCTACGTCTTCTCTCTTGTCACTCCCCCAACTGCATCCATGCCACCTGCTCACCTCTGCAATCCCAGTCCTAGAGGCTTTGCCTGTGGGATGGGAAATGCAAGTGAGCAACCATGACTAAGAGGGCCGATGTGACTGCTGCTCTGTGTCATGGACAGGGAAAGGTGAGGTTGCAGGTTCTGGTGCAGTCATTGTCTCTGACCAGATGCTGATGACTTTTCCCATTCTGCAGACTTCAAAAGGACCTAGGTGTCACCACCACTCATCTGTTACAGCCACATGCTGGAGGCTTCCTGTGCAGGCAGGTGAGTTAGAAGACTTTGCCTTTGGCTGGGCTCCGTGGCTCAGCCTGTAATCCCAGAACTTTGCAAGGCCAAGGCGAGTGAATTGCCTGAGCCGGTGGGTTCAAGACCAGCCCGTCTCTACAATAAATCAAAAATCAACTGGGTGTGGTAGCATGCGCCTGTAGTTCCGACGACTTGGAAGACTGAGGCGGAAGGATCACCTGAGTCCAGTAGGTTGACGCTGGGGTAGCCATGAGCATGCCACTGCACTCCAGCCTACATGATAGAGTGAGACCTCAACTCAAAAAAAAAAAAAACTTTTTTTTTTTTTAAAGAGATGAGGTCTTGCTATATCGCCCAAACTTGTTTCCAACTCCTGGGCTCAAGTGATCCTCCTGCCTTGGTCTCCCTAAATGCTGGGATTACAAGCATGAGCCACCATTTCAGCCCCAAGATTTTGTCTTTCTTTTGTGGAACCTGAATTAGGCTTGTTTTCTAATTAAGCTTATTCTCTCTTTAAGCAAAGAGTGATCAAGTTATCTTTGAAAGGCAAAGTGGATGCTACCCTGGGTTGTATCAGTCTACCTTCCAATATCCATAACAGTCCTCACTAGTTTATCTCTGAGAGCCCTACATCTCTGAAATTCTAGAAACTTTAGAAAATGTCTTGACAGGACCCACCAGAAATACCTAATAATGGAAAGAAAAGTGTTATAAAGACATCTTAGCTTCATGCTTAAGCTACAAGTATGGAAACCAACGTTTAAGTGAAACATAAAGGGAGGAAGGGCAGTGAGGTCAGAGAGAGTTATGGGATAAGGTTCAAAAAAGTCAATAAACTCTTATCTTAAAAAATGTTGGGACATATATTTTTCTAGAACTTTGTGATTTAACTCTTTTCAGTAAAAAGAGTAATATTAGAAAGAAAAAAAATTGTAATATTAGAAAGAAAAAAATTGGCTGGGCACAGTGGTTCACATCTGTAGTCTCAGCACTTTGGGAGGCTGAGGCAGAAGGATCACTTGAGCCTCAGAGTTCATGACAGACTGGGCAACACAGCAAGACCTTGTCTCTATGAAAAATTTAAAAAGTAACTGGGCGTGATGGTGCATGTCTGTAATCTCAGCTACTCGGGAGGCTAGGGCGGAAGGATTTCTTGAGCCCAGGAGCTTGAGGCTGCAGTGAACTCTGTAATGATGCCACTGCACTCCAGACAGGACATTGAGTGAGACACTGACCAAAAAAAAAAGAAGGAAAGAAGGAAATAATTAAATTCTTATTTTGTTGCTACCTAAAATGTAAATATTTGTAAAATATGCCATCTAGGCAGTTCTGAACATGATTTTAACTGGAAGAGCAAGCCCAAATGTCTTCAATGGCTGTGAGAAAGGGAAATCCTGGGAAATATTACATGGAGTCCTGGCCCGTAGTGACATCGGCTATTTGCAGTGGGGGAAGGATGCCTCAGAAGATGACAGACTCTCACAGGTGAGTGTGTTCTGATCCTTAACCACACAACCAGAATGTCAATACTGTAGCATTTTTAAGTCTCTATATTAAGGTAATTCCAACCTGAGTCTACTTTTTCCTTAATTGCCTTCCTGCATACCTCTCTCCCACCACAGACATTCATGTTCTAAATGGAAATATCCAAGTCTACTTGCTTCATTTTTTTTTTAGTTGAGTCAAAGTCTCTGTCACCCAGGCTAAAGGTCAGTACCACGATTAAGAGTCACCACAGCTTTGACCTCCTGGGAGCAGGTGATTCTGCCTCAGCCTCCTGAGTAGCTGGGACTACAGGCGCATGCCACCATGCCCGGCTCATGGCTTTGAGAGGCAGCTCAGTGTCCCAAAGTGCGGGAATTACAGATGTGAACCACTGTATCCAACCAATTTTTTTTCTTTCAAATATTACTCTTTTTACTAAAAAGAATGAAATCATATAATACATAATATATCTCCTGAGCATTTGTTAAGACCATAGTTTATTGGCTTTTTTTGTGAACTCCAACCCATAACTACCTCCGTGTCCCACTCTGACCTCATGTAGAGATGAGATCTTGCTATATTGCCCAGGCTGGTCTCAAACGCCTGGGCTCAAGCAATCTTCCTGCCTAAGCCTCCCAAAGTGCTGGGATTATAGGCGTGAGCCACTATGCCTGGCCTCATATTTTTATTTTACATATTTTATATAGAGAGAGTATAGGTAATACAAAAATACATTTTATTTATTTATTTATTTATTTTAGTTAGAGTCTCACTCTGTTGCCCAGGCTGGAGTGCAGTGGCATGCTCACGGCCACCCCAGCATTGACCTGCTGGGCTCCAGCGATCCTTCCACCTCAGCCTTCCAAATAGCCAGCACTACAGGTGTGTGCTATCGTGCCTAGCTAATTTTTTATTCTATTGTAGAAAGGAGGTCTTGCCAAGTTGCCCGGGCTGGTCTCGAACCTGGAGCTCAGGCAATCCACTCGCCTCAGCCTCCCAAAGTACTGGGATTACAGGTTTAGCCACTGAGCCTGACCCGTAAATACATTTTAAAAACAATATTTGAAATATACAGACAAAGGGAAAGTCCCTTTTCATCCCCATGTAGACACAGAGCCCCTTCTCAGAAATACTTTCACCAACTGATGGAGCCTCCCAATCCTTTATTTATGCAAATGAATGCATGTATTCCACACACTGCTCAAAGCTTAAAAAAAAACTGAAAAAAAGGAACCCCCACTTATGAAATTCCTGTCAAAAGCTTTCTAGTACAACCAGAGAATTAAGTAAGATGTGATTCTATGAAAACAAACAGCAGAGAGAGTGAGAAAGCAAATACACCTGCCCCAAACCACAAATCAAAGCTTGCTTCTGTAGTATGTTCACAAAAATGTTTATCCTGAAACCCATGGAAGGCAAGGCAGATTCTGTCAAAAGCAACACCTCTCTGGAGTGTCCTTAAAACCAGCTGGGATGTAATTTAATGTGACAGGGGATGTAGAGCCCCCCAGGCCTGCCGTCCACCTCTCCCAACCACCAGCAGCAGACAAGGCCTCCCTGCTCAACACCTCTCCTGGCTACAGCTCTGAATGCCTTTTGTGTGTACAGGGCTTCACACCCTCCAAGGTACTTTGACAGCCATAACTTCATCTGTCTCCCCTTCTCCTGTTGTCTCCAGCTACTAAGTGTTATTCATGAAATCAGCATCAGGCAACACATACCTAACGGTGTGTCTAATGGTATCAGAAAAATAGTGTCTGACTATAACAGAGTTGCTATAATTTGTGTACAAGTGTGTTTTAAAAGTTTGGGCTGGGTGCCGTGGCTTGTGTCTGTGATCCTAATACTTCGCTGAGGCAAGGAGGGATCACTTTAAGGCCCAAGAGTTCAAGACCAGTTTGGGCAACATAGCGAGACCTCGTCATGCTCCAAAAAACCCAAAAACCTCAGAAAATTAGCTGCATATAGTGGTGCATGCTTGTAGTCCCAGCTACTAGGGAGATTGAGGCAGAAGGATCGCCTGAGCCCAGGAGGTCGAGGCTGTAGTGAGCCATGAGCCATGCTACTGCATTGCAGCCTGAGGGACAGAGTGAGACCCCCAACTCAAGTAAATAAATAAATAAATAAGCAAACAAACTCAAGTTTGCTTATTATTCCTTGAGTTTGTTCTCTTGGTCCAGCATAGAAAAATGAGACGTGACAGATAAGGTAAAAAGCAAAATAGGCCAGGTTCAGTGGCTCAGCCTGTAATCCCAGCACTTTGGGAGGCCAAGACAAGTGGATTGCCTGAGCCTGTAGGTTCTGGAGCAGCCCAGGCAACTTGGCAAGACCTCATCTCTACAATTAAAAAAAAAATTGCCAGGCTCGGTGGCTCAGCCTGTAATCCCAGTGCTTTGGGAGGCTGAGGTGAGTGGATTGCCTGAGCCTGCGGGTTCGAGACCCGCCTTGGAAACTTGGCAAGACCTCATCTCTACAATAAATCAAAAAATTAGCCGGGTATGGTAGCATGCGCCTATAGTTCCAGCCTGTACTTCCACTTGGAAGCCTGAGGCGGAAGGATCGCCAGAGCCCAGCAGGTCGAGGCTGCAGTGGCCAGGAGCGGCCACTGCATTCCAGTCTGAATGACAGAGTTAGACTCCAACTCAAAAAATAATAATAAAAAATAAAAATAAATATTTAAAAAATTATCTGGGTGTGGTAGTGTGCGCCTATAGTTCCGGCTACTTGAAAGGCTGAAGCAGAGGGATCACCAGAGCCCAGCAGGTTGACACTGGGATGGCTATAAGCATGCCACTGCACTCCAACCTGGGCGACAGAGTGAGACTCCAACTCAAAAAAAAAAAAAAAAGTAAAAGAAATAAACCTAATTCCATTCATTCCTCAGGGATCGATATTTTCAGAAATTCTTTCTTTTTCTTTCTCATGTCAATATCTCTTCTGAAACCTGCTTTTCTCACTTAACACAAATATCTTTAGATGTCAATGAGTATGTGACCCCCTTTGTGTTTAAAGAATGCAGAGTTCCATCGTATGAATGGGAAAGGCTGTACTTTGAATATATCTTGGACAGAGAATGGATTGGCAGGTGCTATAACGTGTCTAATCACCTTCTCCAGATCATTTGGGAATTCATCTTAGAATTTCATTTACATAATCAAGAGGAAACATAAGCCAGAGATAGGAGAGTCATAGATTTGTTTTTTACATATTTTCCTTTTCTTTCAACCATACATGGTCCCTTGTTACCCATGGTCTAGCATGCTGTATCTCTCTGAGCCCAGTAACATGCCAAGTAGCATTGCTCTTGGAGAGCAAGTTTTAAGGGGTGGTGGCACAAAAGTGACAACAGTAATTTCAGTGTTTTGTCCATTATCACAAAAGCTCTCTCACAACATTACTTCACTAGCTCCTCACTGTAAAATAGAAAGGTTTAAATCAACATTTCTCCTATTTAAGTCACTTGAGTAGGTCATTCAGAAGCTTTGTCATGTCTCTGTGCCACCTCGGCTATTATTTGCTTAATGCTTTTCTTTAAATCAACTCACTTAAAATTGATTCTTACCTTTTCTGTAGCAGTAATATAAGCCAGGGACTTGATGTGCCAATGACTTTTTTTCCCCTAATACACATTTGAATAAATAAGCATTTGTTTTTTTAAAGTTCACTTCTTGTGTCACCTACTTTCATGCCACATGCCACCCATGGGCTCACACACACATTTGGAAACTGGGCGTGGAGGCGAGGAAGTTTCCACCACATGTGCAAAATAACTGGCCTAGAAATTGGCAAGCTTGGCTGGAGGCCTTACCCCATCTCTTGTAGGGGTGTAACTTGGACCAGGTTTACCTTCTGAGCCTGTATCCTCACCTACAAACTAGGTGCATCTTCATGCACCTGCAACCTCAGGATTGATGTGAAATCATGAACGTCAAAGCTCGTTAGAAAGTCAAAATGTTCTGCAGACAGAGAAGACCTAATAATAGAAGACAACAAGGCATAACGTGAGAGTGCTTTATTCAGCTATGTTCATTCAGCATGGCTGAATACTAATTGAATACTAATTGTGAGGCTCTGTGTCCTGCTACAAAGATGAGTCACACTTGGCTGAACATTGCCATCCACACACGGATTGCTACAGCAAGTGTATAGGCAATAAGTGCTAGAGAGCAGTGATGTCAACCTTGCTGCACTCTGAAATCACCTGGAGAGCTTTTCAAATGATGCATGCCCAGGGCATCCCCCAGAGCAGTGTTAGCCTCATGAGTGTGAATCCTGTGTAGTCAAGTGAGGCCCAGCCCTTGGTTTAATGCTCTGGTGTCTGGTGTCACCATCTTGAAATTGTTAATAATTTTTGAACAAGGGCCCCGTATTTTCATTTTTTACTGTGTCCCACCAATTATGTAGCCAGACTCTTTTATTTGGCCTGGGGATCACCTGGACAGCTGATGTTTTTAAGGTCCAAGGGAATTCTCATGTGTAGTGAGGATTAGAAATCTCTGTTCCAAAGCCAGGCTTCTGAAACTCAGCACCATGGAAACTTCTGACTCAATAATTTTTTATGCTGGGGCTGTTCTCTGCAATGTGGGCCGCTGAGCAGCATCCCTGGCCTTTACCCACTAGATGTCAGCAGTCATGGCACCCGTGTGACCATCAAAAATGTCTCTAGACATTTCCAAGTGTCGCCTGGGGGAAAATATTACCCCTAGTTGAGAACCACTGCTCGAGAGGAAGGAGAAAAAAGTCTCTTTAGGTTTAGCTGATTGAAGCCATGGTGTGCAGAATTGGGAAACTATTTCAAATGACCTCACAAGAAAGAGTCTATCTTCTTTCAGTTGGTATCAAAAAGGTTGATAGTTTTCTGTTCCTTTTTAACATTTGCAGGGCTTTGGGAACAAAGTTTCAGGCTTTATCTTAAATTAAAATTAAAGAGGTGTTTGTGAAATAGTTACTAAGTTGCTCTGAGGAGAGGGACTATATAAGAGAACATGCAGAGAGAGACA